AGCTCGCCCCCTTCTTTGGAATTGTTCTTTCTCTCTTTCCCTTCTGTCAGCCATCCCCCACTAGCATTCAGTCAGCACAGTTTAATTAGGTTTTACATATTTTTAAAGTTTTTCATAGCATTCTCATTTTACAAATGAGGAAAATGATGCTCAGAGAGGTTAAGATGCTTACCTAAGATTAACCAGCTAAGAGGTGGCAGAGCCAGGACTTATGCACCCTCCGACTACACAGCCTGTGCCCTGCATCTTAATCAGGGAGGCATTCAAGGCTCCATACCCACTGGTCTCTACTCTCTTCTCCATCATGCCCGTCTGTCCTCCTGACACTGTAGTTAGTGCTCCGACTGACCAGCACTCTCATTCCTTTGCCTTTGTCCATGCTGGTTCTTAAATCTCGAAGGATACGTTCTCACTCCTCATCTATAGGAACTGTACTCAGTTTTTAAAGCTTACTCAGCTCAAATATAAGTTATTGTATTAGTTAGAACAGAAGACTCCTGGAAAATGACATTGAAGTTAGTAAAATCACGAATGAGCATGGGCTTGCTTACCAAATTCTACAATGTGAAAAGGAGGATATGTCATGGAGCCTCAAGAAGACAGTTTGGGGGCATGTAAGGAAGGATCACATGAACAGTGACTATTAAACTAATGGAGCATGTTATTCAAGCGGTGATAAAGCTGAAAGATCAACAACGGACATTTATTGAGCCTTAGCCCCAAGCCAATCCCAGGAGGTAAAATGAAGAGCTTACTTTTAATTGGGAAGACATATGCTTAAGCACACAATTACAGTACAGCGTGACATGTGCTGTAATTTGGTACTATTAGAACTTTGGCTGGGTCTGACTAAAGAAATTATGTCAGGCTTTATAGGTGTTGCTATAATTACTTTTGGAAAGGAACAGGAATTTCTCAGGTAGGTAAGTGGCAATGGGCAGAGAAAGATCTAGACAGATCAAGCAGCAGTGTAAAAGCATGGTAACATGGGAAAGTATGAGTGTTTGCATTTGATATTTCTAGAGCAAAGGTGAGTGTGTGCATGAGTGCAAGTCACGCGTGTGTATGTGTGTGTGAGTATGAGATAGTCATGAAGTGTAAGTGGATGAAGATTATAGGAAATAAAACTAGGAGGGTGGTGTAAGGTTTTAACACGAAAGGTTGATGTGAAATGTTAATGAGTTTAGCTTTTTTCCCTCTATAATTTTGAATAGCTGCATGATCAGATTTTCTTTTTGGAAAGATCATTTTAGTTGGATGGTGAATTAAAAATTGTTGAGTATAGAAGTAGAAATTCCAACAAGAAGGCTACGGTAGTAGTTCAAATGAGAGATGGTGAGGGCTGGTGTGGTAGACAATGTGGTGTCCTGCCCAGACTGCTTTTCCCAAGTGGGAGCCCCTATCCCCAATAGTGACTATGGATGCTAATAACTCACAGCTGACCCTTTCTCCAGAGAATCAACCACCACTGACTGCAGCAACCTCACCCAAAAAACAAACTATGATGCCCACTTCCTGCCAACCATTGCCCTCAGTCAATGGCTGCTAGAGGGTATAAGAAATTGGTCCCCTTGCCTCAGAGGTCATAATTCTGCTGTGTGGTTAATGCTTCAAGTACCTTATCTGTGGATCAGGCCAGACTAGATTGTACCCGAGACTACATGCTTGTCAGGCTCTTTTCCTTTCCCTAGTCTGCTTCTATCCCTCCCTTGTAGTAGGTTTTTCTTGAAACTCATTCCCCCAATAGATGATGTACATCCCAAATCCTCTTCTAGACTCTCCTTCTAGGGAACCAGAACTAAGACAACCAGTATTAACTGTTTATAAGGATGGAGATGCCTGGTACATTGAGCCAAGTAGAATTGATCAAGTGTGATTGACCACTAATTAGATGAGTGAGAAGGAGGGGTGAGGGGAGGAAAAGATATGGAATGTTTTCTAATTTTGGCTTGAGCCTAAGAGGGTACTATTCATTCACCAAAATATAGGGGAATAGTTCTGGGGTGGGTGAGGGAGGAGATGAATTAACTCAGTTTTGGACAGGCGGGACTTGAGATGCTTGCAGAGTATCCAGGACATCGAAGTAGAGGTTAAAAAAAAAAAAGACCATAGGAGTTTAGAGTTCAGGATAGGAAATCAGAGCTGGAGATGTAGGTTTTTGAGCTAACAGCAAATAAGTGACACAATAGAGGTATCACAATAGAGGTATCATTTTCACCATCCTGGCTCTATACAGAGGAAGTTATAGGATGCTACCCTATTGAATTTCCAAGTTAACATCGGGGAAGGCAATCTAGTTCTCCAATTTAGTCCTTTTGGTCCGTTGTTAGAATTCTGAGCTGGATGATCTTGACCTGGCCCTTTTTTTTTTCCCCTTTCCTGTTGATCCTGTTGTGGCTCTGTGTCATCATTAGGGCCAAATAGTAAAAGAATAATGTAAAAGTAACCATTTTGTTCACAGTGAGTTATAGTCACATCGTTGATGCAACTATATTGTTATGTTATTGTTATGCCCAAATGAACAAAATGCAGAGTGTTTTGGGGCATCTGGATGGCTGTCGGTTGAGTGTCTGACTCTTGATTTCGGGTCAGATCATGATCTTGTGGTTCATGGGGTTTGAGCCTCAACTTGGATTCCTCACTGACAATGCAGAGCCTGCTTGGGATTCTCTCTCTCCCTCTCGGTCTGACCCTCCCCTGTGTGCTCTCTCTCTGAAAATAAATACTTTTAAAAAATTCAGTGTTTCTTAATCACTTCCTTCAGAGCCAGAATTAACTCTTTGCCTACATTTCCATATTAAAGGCCATTAATATCCAGAATCTGAAGGAAGAATGACTTTTACCCAGTCAGTCGATACTCGACATTAAGCCTCAGTCTCTATCTTCTCTCCGCCAAAAGTAGAGAGACCTGAGGATACCTGACTCAACTTTTAGGATGGAGGCCCACCAAAGAAATTACTTGGCAAAGCATGAACTGATTTGCTACAAAGCTTGAGAAGTGAGTTTCCCAATAGGAGCAGAGTTAAGTATGAAGCATGGAAGAAGACAGGAAAGAAACTAGTTCTAACACATCTTCCAAGGTTCCCTATTGGTGTACTTTGAGGTATGAGAGGAAAAATACACTTTTTACTCACTGAGTCATTGTTGAAGGCTTCCCCTCTGGCTACATAACATATTGACACAGTTTTGTTGCTCTGTATTAGTTGAACGGCTATGTTTCCTCTGCCTTTTCATTTCAGTATTCTCTAAGGACTTCTTTTCCAGTCCTTAAGTGGAAATGAATTCAGTGGTTAAGTAGATTACTGTGCCTAAGACTGAATCAATTTATGCACCATTTTTATTCAGACTACCTTTTTATTGGCAAAGCTAGCTGAATTCCTGCTCTACAATCAACTTACCAACATCTTTAATAAAAATGTTTATTTTGTTCACTATATCTTAATAAGAAAAGCTTACTGAATAATAATGTTTGAAATTGTCTATGGACTTTACCTGAACTTATATTTGAAATGATAAGTATATCAAATAAATTTTTGGCATTTTTGTTCCTGGCAGTCATTCTATAAATTATATGATGTAATGTGGTATGGTGAGTAATAGTACTTGTGGAGAAAAACTCTGCTTCTGGAATTTCGACAAGTGAGCGGAGATTTATGTGATGATTATATGACTTCTCAATCATTTGAAAGGTGCATGTAAGCTTAGAGGGCAAGCCCCCCCCCCACATTTGCACAGCTGCTATATATCTCTTTAATACATAAACAAAAATACTATTTACAAGCTCCTAAGAAATATCCCACTCCTTAAAGATCTTTACTATGTTTTTCCCATTTTAATAAATGATCATTTAATAGTGTTTTCCCCTTAATAGTTTAGCAAGTTACCTTTAAGAATGATTTCAAAGGGATATCCATACACTGTATGGCCACGTAATGAATCCACCTTATCTTCCAATTTACCAAGCCCAGAGAACATAGAGCTAAAACAAAGGATCTTTTGGTCTTCCCCACCCTCACCCTTCCTTCTCCATGTCTTCTAAACCTGATTCAGAGGAAGAGGTAAGTCTCAAAAAGTTGTTTCTTGAGTTGCAACGGGATTTATTCTAGGGTCCCAGAGACAGTTATTAGAGTGGGTGTGGCTTAGTGGAGTCCGACTACATGGTTCTAATTCTAACGGCCACTTTTTAGCTGCATTAATAGCTGATCTTGAGGAAGATACTTAACCTCTCTGTAACTTGGTTATCTCATCTGTAAAACGGGGATGATATACATCCATTTGACAGAGAAAGGAGCTAATTCTTACAAAACGTCTATAATAGTAGCTGTCGCACAGTAAACTTGGAGTATTAGTTACTATTATTATCATGGAGCTCAGTCTACCGCTAGGAATCAGTTTGTTGGGCTTTAGAAATCTGGCCAACACTCAGTGAACAAGGAAGACACTTGGAGAGGAAGGACCGGCTTTCTAATGCTGATTGCCTTCTATTTATTTATTTATTTATTTTTAAGATTTTTTTTAACGTTTATTTTTGAGACAGAGAGAGACAGAGTATGAGCAGGGGAGGGTCAGAGAGAGAGGGAGACACAGAATCTGAAACGGGCTCCGGGCTCTGAGCGGTCAGCACAGAGCCCGACGCGGGGCTCGAACCCACAGACCGCGAGATCATGACCTGAGCCGAAGTCGGCCGCTTAACCGACTGAGCCACCCAGGCGCCCCGATTGCCTTCTATTTAAAGCAAATCTCGGCGGCAGTAAAGAAACAGCATAGATCCTAGAAACGCTGCCTGCAGAATAGACTGAAAAGTTGTAAGAGGTACAGCGGAACCGGACAGCGGGCAGGAACCGCACAGCCGGGAGGAGCCAGAGTCGGGCGTGGAAGGAGTCCCTTCCGGGTGAGGGGCGGAAATGGTCTGGACACGCCCAGGTTGGCTGGGAAGAGCTCTGGGGGGTGTACCGTGGGGACCAATCGCTCTCGGGATCCGCCTTCAGGGGGCGGGAGAATCGGGACGTCCACTCACCTTGGGCCCGCCTCAGCGCTGTTGGCCTCTCAGCCTTTGATTTCCGCTTGGGTCCGCGAGCTGCGGTCGGCCAGAGAAGGGTGAGCGCGGGAAAAGTGCATCAACGGGGAGGGGAAAGGGATAGAAACGGGAAAGAGGGAAAATGTGACTGTCGGAGATGAGAAATAGGAAGCAATAGGGAAGAAAGTTAGAGAGGATGGGAGTATGGGAGGGACCAGAGAAATGGGGAGGAGGAGTGAGGGAGGCGGGGAGAGAGGAGCGGTGAGGAGACTTAGGGACGGGAAAAGGAGAGTGTAGGGCGAACACCGGTAAGGGGGAAGAGTAGTATATCGTCTCCCCCAACCCCCGAGCATGGGATTCCCTAGGGGTTCATCCCGAGTAGGGTAGTAAAGCAAAGTCTGGGGGTATGTTGAAAGACAGCTGTTGCCTGGGCCCGTCTGATCACCAAGTTAGCCACCCCTTTTGTATTAATTGGCACGAAAATTAATTTGAGTGCAGAGGTGATGTCTGGCCCTTTAAGAGGTGACTGATACAGGGAGTTTTCCTTAGCCCTTCTGAGTGGGCCAGTCAGTCTTCTCAAAGGACTGGGCTTAGACAACCAGATCAGCAGATGCATCCTCTGAGTTACTGCAAGATCACCTTCACATCCTCGTTTTGAGAAGGCCATCTCTCTCCTTACTTCTGCCTTTACAGGATACCTGGCACTTTGACTCCTGTGACGCGTTCTCTGACATAAACTCCCTGAAGACAGTTTCTACTGAATTATCTGCCTACTTTCTGATAAAACTTTCACTGACCTTCATTTAAACTATTTTCTGTAGTAGTACCTCCCTCCACCCCACCTCCACCTAGGAAACCTATCCTTGATCTGTAGACTTATAGACTGGTAAAGCAGGAATGGGGCTTTTGGGATAATCTAGCAGGGACCCCTCATTTTTAGGTAAGACAAACAGAAACCCTTGAGACTTAAAAAGTGAGTGAAAGTGACAGTATCAGCACCTTAGTAAGTACCAGGTACTGTGTATATCTTCTATATATTCTTCAAAAACCTAGGGTGTAGGTACTTTTGTCCTCTTTTTACAAATGAAAAAACAGGCCAAGAGTGATTAACCTGCTAATGTGTGATGGAGCTGGGATTTCATCCCAAGGAATCTGACTTTAAAACTCAAATAACTAATGGAGTAAAAAGTAATACTAGATAGTGCTAGGACTGTGATTCCAATTCAGCTGAATGCCTCCCCCCCCCCCCTTTAATCACACTACAGTTTCCATTTCTTAAGTCTAAAGCTCTTTCTGTGTTTTGCAAGTTCAGTTATCTATACTGTATATGAATGGCATGTAAATCTACTTCACTACCTCCAGCTTATTCCCTCAGTTTGGATCTATAAAAAAACACTTCAGTTTTAAGAGAAATTTATATTTTTGGGTTCCTTGCTAGCTTAGGGAATGCTGACTTTACAGCTCTGACTGTGGCAGTAGATTTTGCCATGGCTGCTGTGGAATAGGTAATTAGGCAGGGGTGGGAAGCAGTTGAGAAATAAAGCTGGAAATTATTGAAATGACAATTGCTGGCACTTCAGGGCTTACTCTATTGGCTTCCTCTAAACTCAAGGCCTCTAAGTTTTAGGAGTGGCTTGGGCAAGCTCTAAACCCATAAATAATCACCTTAGACTCTCAGTGTTAACCTCTGCTTAAGGATACCATGAAACTGGAGTTAGTTGTCTTCCTGTTACCGTTTTTGCTGCATGTGCAACCCTTGACCCAGCGAGCAGTGCCACAGCTTCTGGCATCTCATAAAATTATGCTGTAATCTCAAATCCTTATCACATAGAATTTGTCTTTTTTCACACCAGTCACTGCCTTTTTGTAATTTATCACTTTTTATTTTTTTCCCAAAGATTTTATTTTTAATCTCTATACCCAGCATGGAGCTCAGACTTACAACTTCTTGATCAAGTGTTACATGCTTTACTGACTGAGCCAGCCATGTGTTCCAATTTATCATCTTTTCTGTTTATAATTAGTTTATCTTTCCAAGAGAAACCTCAGTCATGAAGCAATACTCTAATATTATGTTTTAATCCTTAGATATTGGCATGATATATGTATCTTACATACTAAATACATATATATTTGTTTTGAATTATATGGTACCTGAATTAATGTTTATTATAAACAATTAAAATGAGAAGTATATAGAGTAAATAAGAAAATCCTCTTCTATCCTACACTTGTAGTCCCATTCATTTTCCTGTAATAATCACTGGTGGTAATTTGGTATTTTCTGTGTCATCTATATATTTACATAAGTGTGTATGAGCAAACACACACACACACAGTTTTTAAAAACATAACAGATGTTGTGTCAACTAGGATCTCAGGAAATAGAAACCACATATTAAATTGGGAAAGTTCAATATGAACAATTATTAACTAGTAATAAAAGGATTAACTAGTAAGGGGTAAAAAGAGCTCTAAAACAATACAATAGCAGATATAGGGAGCAGCCCCTGCTTCTAAGGTTGAGGCAAAGTGCTCAAGGAAGGAACGAATTTGGAAGAGGTCCCTTTCTTCCTCCAAGACTGATAATTGGACTTTATGGAAGAGTGTACAACAGATAATGTCACTGGATGATGAAGTTTGATGAATTGCTGCCCATTGAGATTGGATTGCAGGAAACTGCAGGCTGGACTGTGGATTTGGACTGCTGGCAAACTCTAGGAAACCACTGAGATTCCAGGAAACAGCTCACAAGGATGCTGGCAGAATTAAATGGGAAGACACAAGAATGCTGTTGAAACTCAGTGGGAAGCTGCCTGGTTGGGGTGCTGTTGAAACTTGATGGTCGGCAAGCATCATTGGGCAAAGAAAAAAAAAAACACCTAATACAAAGAAACAAAACAAAACAAAACAAGGAAAGCATGTAGGAACCAGGAAGAGAATCCCCCCTCCTCCTGCAGGGTCCCTCTAGCACCCCCTACTGATAGAGCTTAAAACCATCAGCTGGCAAAGGAAAGGTGTAATTCTCTAGTATCACAAAACAGGGCAATGAAGGATAGATTTGAAGCTGAGGGACAATAAATTGATGACTGGCACAGATATGAAACTAACTTTTTTCACTTCTTAGAGAATTTTCCATGTTGATACTTATAAATCTTATTTTTGATGATTGCATAATTCCATTTGTCTTCATTTCACTGGTAGACATTAGCCTATTTCCAGTTTTTCACTACTAAATGGTGAATAGCCTTATACATATCACTTTGTATGGCAACTATATCTTTAGGTTTGATTTCTAGAAGTGAAATTGCTGGATTACAGGATATACGTTTTTTAAACTTTACCAGATATGTTCCAAATTGATATTCTTGTGTATAATCTGGTTTAGTCAAGTTTTCACCAAAATGGATATTATAAACCTTTTTTTTTTTTTTTGCCAGTCTGATGGGCAGAAAATGGTACTGTTACTCTTTTTTAAATGTTTACTTCTGTGAGAGAGAGTGTGCGCAGGCACGTGAGCATGAGTTGGGGAGGGGCAGAAAGAGAGGGAGACCCAAAATTCGAAGCAGGCTGAGCTGTCAGCACAGAGCCCAGTGTGGGGCCCAAACTCACTGTTTGAGCTGTGAGATCATACCAGAGCTGAAGTCCAACTTCAGCTGACTAAGCCACTCAGGCACCCCAATACTGTTACTTTTTTAAATGATTATTTCTTTATTTTGAGAGAGAGAGCATGAATGGGGGAGAGGCAGAGAGAGAGAAAGAGAAAGAATCCCAAGCAGGTTCCACATTGTCAGCACAGAGCCCAAAGCGGGCCTTAATCACACAAACCGTGAGATCATGACCTGAGCTGAAATCAAGAGTTGGATGCTTAAATGACTGAGACACCCAGGTCCCCTGATACTGTTACTTAATTTGTATTTTCTTGATTCTAAATGAGACTGAACTTCTTTTTATATGTTTTTGGCCATTTGTTTTTCTGTTATTCTGTGAACACTTTTTTAAATTACAAAAGTAATCTCTTAGTAATTCAGTATCAAAGTATATAAAGGAAAAATGATAGTGGTTAACACATAATGAGCACCAGCTACGCCCCAGGCACTGTTTTAAGGGTTTTACTTATGTTAAGTACAATCTCCCAGCCGTTACCACCTGAGGTAACTACCACCTGTTTACAGTCGGGTGTGCAGTCTTCTAGATTTTTTTTTCTAGGCTGACACAAACATTTATAGAATTTTATTCCGTGGGGCTTTTTGTTTTCTTTGGCGTCACAAAAAATGGAAGCCTCCATATATTGCTTTACAATATGCTCTCTCCCCGCCTCATTATGTTTTAAACCTCTTTCTAAACCAATATATAAAAATCTACCTCACTCTTTTTAATGTCTTCATAATATTTGATTGTATGGTTACCATAAATTATCCATTCCCATACTAGTGAATGTTTACTTTGAATCAATTATTTGGGTAAGACAATCAATGCTGCAGTGAACATTTGTATGCATACCGTTATACACGCATTACCTTAACCTTTCAATACTGTTTCCTGAGAATAAGATGTTAGATTACCGCTTCATTAATCCTCAGATTTTCCTGTCTGTTGTGGTGCTTGAAAACACATGTACTGCAGTATATGTATATGCTGTACATTGTATACACATATGTGTAGTTGTGATACAGTTCAGGTTTCCTCTCAAATTACTTAGATTGGTGTAGGTCTTAAAGTGTTAATAGTCTTTGTTAGGTATTCACTGTCTTCCTATCTTACATTATAGCTCTGTAAGTCCTGATCCTTAGTTCAATTGTTTTTCTTTTCTAGGCTACTCTATATCCACTTTCAAACCAATCTGAGCTCTCTCCTTCAAATTAAGTTGTCAGAAAAGCAGGTTCTTCCCTGTCTCTATCCCACTTAGATTTATTGCCCTTTAGTATCTTAATGAACTTAAAATGATAATTAGATATCTCACTATCCAACCAGCCTTCCCAGAGCTCTGCTAATTCGAAAATTATTTCATTTGCATTTTTTATGACTATGTACACTCTGCTCCCATTTTTTTTGAGCAAAGAATGTTCACATCCATCATTACTCCCAAGAAGAAATTCTGTTTCATGCCTCCTTGTTTTGTTTTTTGCTTTATATTTGTATTTGTTTCACTTTTTTTTTTTTTTTTTTGGTTTTTTTTTTTTTTCCCTAAGGCTTTTTCCAGGAGTCCTTCAGTATCTCCATTCAAGTTTTTAAAAATTGAGGTGAAATAAAAATTGAGGTGAAAATTTTTAAAAACAGGTGCCTGGGTGGCTCAGTCGGTTGAGCCTCTGGTTTCAGCTCAGGTCATGATCTCACAGTTTGTGACTGCTGTCAGCACAGAGCCCACTTGGCATCTTCTGTCCCCCTCTCTGCCCCTTCCCTGCTCACGCTCTCTCCCTCAAAAATAAATAAAACATTAAAAAAGAATTGAGGTGAGATTCACATAACATAAAATTAGCCGTTATAAATATATAATTATTCAGTGACATTTAGAACATTTACGATGTTATATCACCGCCTCTATCAAGTTCCAGAACCTTTTCATTATCCCCAAAGAAAACTCTGTACCCATAGTCGCTCCTCACTCTTCCCTCCCCCAAGTCTCTGGCTGCCGCCAAATTGCTTTCTGTCTCTATAGATTTACCTGTTCTGGATATTTCATGTAAGGAAAATCATATAATAAGTGGCCTTTAGGGTTGGGTTTCTTCCACTAACTAATCCTAGTGGCGTTTTTTTTTTTTTTTTTTTTTTTTTTTTTATTTTTTTTTTTTTTTTTTTTTT